AGGGGATGCAGTGACCTACCACAATGGCTGGAAGTTCACAACCTGGGACAGGGACAATGATGTGGCTCTCAGCAACTGTGCTCTGACACACCATGGGGCAGGGTTGTATAAGAACTGCCACTTGGCCAACCTCAATGGGAAATACAGGGAGAGCAAGCACAGTGAGGTGAGGTGAGTGGCAGAGCTCTGTGTGGTGGTAAGTTCTTCTCCCTCACCTGGAGAAAACACACGGAGAGGATGTCTCTCCTTGGAGCATGAGAGGTTGGCAAGGCTATCATTTTAAAAGAAAATGATCTATAAGGAAACTTACAGCTCTTACTCTGTCCTCCCTGGATCCAGAGGACTTGAACTCATGACCCCCTGATTCCAGTGGGTAAAGATACTTGAGGTGGAGCTGTCTTGATTTCTGAGGGGTACGCATAAGAAACACTCACTAGGAGCCACAATGGGATGCTCTCTCACTGTCTCATGTAGCCTACAGCTTGGCTTTCAGTGCATGCCTTGGTGTGGATCTCATTATACAGGTTTATGTTGGGCTTGAAGATGGCTCAGTCCTGTTGTGTTCCAAACTGGACAGAGATTTGATTTATCTGAGGAGTGTCTGGAAGACTGATGATGACTACAGTCAAAATCCGGTGAACAACAGAATCACAGAATCATCTCTGTTGGAAAAGACTTCGAAGATCATCCAGTCCAACTCTTAACCTCACACTGACAGTTCCCAACTCCACCATATCCCTCAGCGCTGGGTCAGCCCAACTCTTAAACCTCCAGGGATGGGGACTCCCCCCCTGCCCTGGGCAGCCCATTCCAATGCTCAACAACCCCTTCTGGAAAGAAATGCTTCCTAATAGCCAGTCTAACCCTGCCCTGGTGCAGCTTGAGGTCATTCCGTCTTGTCGGGTTGCTTGTTCGTTGATTCAAGAGACTCATCCCCAGCTCTCTGCACCCTCCTTTCAGGGAGTTGTAGAGGGCGATGAGGTCTCCCCTCAGCCTCCTCCAGACTAAACAACCCCAGTTCCTTCAGCTGCTCCACATAAGACCTGTGCTCGTCTCAATAGCACGTCTCTGTTTATTGGAGGGTTAAATGGAATTAGAGGGGAGCAGTGGTAGACTCCTAACTCTCCTGGTCTGGGTGCTTTAGTAAAATAAATTCCTTGTTTTTTTCCCAGGGTGTGAACTGGGAGCCATGGAAAGGCCATGAATTCTCCATCCCTTTTACTGAGATGAAGATCTGTCCTCAGTCTTCCAGTAATGAGCCAGTCCTAGGGAGGAAGAAGAGGTCCCTATCAGGGAAGAGGAAGAAGATCAGGGCTTAAATCGAACTCTGTGCAGGACAGTACCCAAAGATAATGATTCACAATTTCTTAAAAAAGTTAGATTCAGACAGCTTTCACTGATACATTTGGAGACAATCACTGACCAAGGTGCACCCAGCAATCTCTGGATCTGCAGTCCAGCCTGGGGCTGGGGAGGGGAGCTTGTGTGGAGCACAACTTGTAGCTCCCCTGGTTGGCTAAACATGACAGGGTCCTGCTTGATCCAATATATGCAACTTTTATGAACTTTGCATAAAACAAGCTCTAACAGATGTTCTTCTTTCTGAAAACCCAGGGTGCTGACTCCTCTTAATTCTGTCCTTCTCTGGTGCTGTCCAGACTTCAAAAAATTAAACTTGAACCTGCTAAAAAGTAATATGACCCTAATTTACATCAGAGAGCTCTTTCCTGAGACTATCCCCTTTCCCTGTTTTGGTCTGTGGTGTTCTTTTCCTTTCCCCTTGTCATCTGAGGCACATTCCCTACTCTTTCTACCATCAAAGAGCGGGGTTTGGGAAAAGTTGTCAGGCTACTGGCAAGACTCATTGACCCAGGTGAGGTCTGTAGTCTGGGTTCCTCAACCTCCAGAATCGCATCTCGGTTAAAATCCTGCTCTCTATTTTGCTTGTCTTTTCTTGTCTCCCAGCCTAAAGAAAAGCCTGAGGAGACTGGCAATAAATTAATGTCCAGACTCCTGTGTGAGGCCCAGAACAGAGTGGGTGTAAGGGCTGTACTCCTCCAAGCTCTGCTCACCATCCCAAACCTGCTTGCCAGGGAGGCCACTTACAGACCGTGAACATTCTGTATGCGACTGTCCCATCTGCCTCCTGCTTTTTCATCAGCAGTGTGGTAGCTAGTGATGCTGAAATGCTAACGCTTGTCATCCACCCTAAAACGAGCATCTTGGAGTTAAACCTATCCTGCACGCTTTCTCTCAGGCCATAGTGCATGCTTACACATTTGGCTGCTTTTTTTCCTCATGGCCACAAAGTGAGTTTTATTTTCTTTCCATGAGCAGATATTAAAATTCTGGGCCACCAGCTGCAGCCAGGGAAGAAGTATGAGCTCACCAAATGATGCTTGCTCAAAGGCTTCCTTGTCTGAGCAGATTGGAACATGACTGTCCTATGTCGTCATGGCCTTTCCTATCCCAGTGCTAAGCTGAGTAATACATTTTAAAGAATCCTTCCTGGACTTTGGGGGAAGTAATAAAACTGCAATATTTCTGTCTTCCTTCCTTTGGGTGGCAGAATTATTTTTCTTTCCATTTAAGCTAAGCCTTCTTTACAGAGATGGAGGAACACCCAGGCCCAGACTGGGGCTGTGAAAATTAGGTCTTTGGAGTCTGCTCCAAAACAGGGATGGGGACTATGTGATCTCTTCGTGACTTCATACTGCAAAGCAATTAACTGATCTGTGGTTTCTAGGACCTGGCTGAAGAGATCCAGCTAGAGAGCCATCTCTCAAAGGTTGAGTACTAATTTCTTTGTAGTACTTTCAGGGCTGTACCTCTTGTCTGGGTGGGCAGGCAAAGACTCAGCTGAGCTGTGTTAGGATACCCAAGCCCTGGTTTGGGGGAAGGAGGAGACTAATGGAGGGAGGAGAGGAAAATTGCACTTGAAGTGTTTTGCAGGCTCTGTCCTAAGAGCGGGAGAGGACATAGGAAAACAATGAGGGTTCTTTACTGTGATGATTTCTCCCCATTGCCGGCTTGTCTGTAGGTGAGGACAGGTTTCATCGTGTTCAAGGGCACAGGGTAGACCTGAAGAAGGTGACCAAAGGGGACTGGAGGACTATGCTCATGCACAGCCACTCTAAAAGTAAGTGTATGCTCTAAAAAGCAGCAGGTGTGATTGTTGCAGCAGCTCTTTTCTGTGCAGAGGCAAAACATGATCCCCTTCTAAAGCTGAATCTTACCTGAGAGCAGGGAGTATTCTTTTCGGCGGTGTGAGCTTTGTATTTCAGAGATGAAGACAAACGAGACACCTTATTTGCTGTCTGAGGTGGGTTTACTTGTCCCTCCTAATTACGGGCCTCTCTTTCACCAGGAAGAGACGTCCAAGTGGCGGCTGCTGGGAAAACCACTGCGGGAAGTCAGTATTTCCGAACAGCCACAGGATGGCATCATCTCTTCATGCTAGCGCAGGAGAAACGTCCCTGTATCCAGCTGGCCTCTGTGGAAAGAACTTTTTTGGGGGTTTGGGGTTAACCGAAGCTGGGACTGCTCAAGTAATGCAGTGTGTTTGCCTTGAGGAAACTGGCTTTTCTGGTTTCAAGGCTCAGGCTGGTTGGGATAGTCTCATGAAAATTTCACACCCTCTCACTATCCTTGTTTTGCTGCAATACCCAGCCCTCTAATAGGGCCAAAACAGATTTTTGAAACGCCTGCCTTGCCCTGAGATCACTTAAATTTTATCTACTGGTTTGCAACATGCCTGGCGGTAGAATCTGAATCCCAGAAGGCTCCTCTTTGCCCTGGCATTAGTGTCGACAGGGACCGTCCTGCTGCTGGACCCCAGGAGCCAGGACCCATCTGTTTTGATCTTTCTGGGGTGCAGTGTGGCCACTGCTGCTGGAGGGGGGACACACACCAGCAAAATGCTGCTGTGGGGGGAGAGGTGGTGCATTCTTCACCCACCTTCCCAGGAGGAGGAGGGAGAAGGCATACCTCTTCCCAAAGATGCGGTACTCCGAATGGTGCAATTCAGAGAGAAGACAGAAGTGTCTTATTGCACTAGGCACACGCTTGGAAAGCACCAGTGTTACTTCTGGTTACTGCTCTAGGCTTCGTTGGCTTAATAAAGAGAGGAACAGTCAGTGAAGATCCCATTCTCCCCTTGAATGGGGTTTTAGCGGTTTGCAGAGGCATTTTTGCATCCTTTCAATCCCTGGACTGCTCCAGGATGCTCTCCTTGACCTCAATCCCTGCCTGTTTCTAAACTGGGATGCAGGAACCTCCCCTCCCTCTTCAGCCCATGCTACCCAAGGGCACCTGGCCCTGAATCGGGTGGGCAGGGCTGCCATCTGGAGAGAAGCAAAGTGTGTGTTGCTCATTCCTTCTGCCAAAAAGCACGTGTCTGCCATTTCTAGCTGCTTGTTGCTGTGGTCCTGCACACTTCTTCCCCCCCGGCTCTTCCAGAGCCTTGGCTCTGTGGGCAAGGTGCAGCTTGGTGCAGCGTCCAGGTAAGAGGGAGATTTATTTTTGCTGTTGTGGAGGGAGAGATCTGTGGTGCATGATTTGGAAAGGCTCTGCCCAGCAGAGATGCAGGCCTGGTCTTACGATTTGGCTAATGCAGACAGCTGTGAGAAGCTGAAGACACCGTGAAATCCTTGTCTGATCAACTGGGGTTAACTAGTCTGCAAGGGAAAAAACCTCTTGCTACCCACCTCCTGCAGTGCACAAACACTGCTTTTCTTCTTCCTGCTACTTCTTGCCCTTGGGGAGAGGAGCTTGGCTTGTGTTCATTAACAAGGCAAGGCCATTAAACTTGATTAAGCTAAGCTGTTTCTTGAAGAAAACATCTCCGAGCTGCACAGCTGGCTGCAGGCAGCGCCTGCACAGCCTCTGCCCGCTGAGCTCTCCCTGTGTCTTATTTAGGGCCAGGATGCAGATACAAGATAGATTTCCCCAGGAAAATAAACACATGACTGAGAGCTAGAGACACAGCATTTTTTTGCAGTTTGAGAGTCATTTATTTTTGTTCTTAAAATAAATTGCAAAGAATTTCGGTGTTTTACACTGTTGCAAGGACTGTTTGAGGAAGTAAAAGGTTGATACTGAAATGCAGTGGTGGGGAGGCAGTGCGGTGGTGTCTGGAGAGCAGGGACCCATGCAGGGGTGTTTCTGTACCATTCTTCTGCCTCCTTGTTCATTTGGGTGCTGCAGGGTCACCACTGCCCAGCTGATGGGTGACAGCTCCTGGGGCACTCAGGCTGTCGCTGCTCTTTTGCTTTTGTGTCAAGAAACAGCTGATTCAGTGCATGGTTTGGCTAAAAGAGCAGTCCTCAAGCAAGCTTGCCCCACTGCTTTGCAGGGTGTAGACTGGCTGGATGAGGGCAGGGTTGTATCCTGGTGCCTCTGTTCCCAGCCCAGGGGTGAATTCCAATTATGCTTTTGGTAGGTTCTTGAAATTCAGACCTGGCTCTGAACTCCCCAAAGCCCAGACTGGAGATGTTACATGTGACACAACAGACATTTACTAAACAGTTCTCTGGTTCTTGTAGAAATTAGTTGCCCTCACTTGAAACGTTACTCACTAACCTTTCTGGAGAAGAACCTTCTCGCAGGGAGCAGTGCAAAGCCCAGAAGCTCCACATCAGGTAGCCTGTACTCTGCCTAAGCCGGCTGCCTTCACACCCCTGCTTGCTCCAGTAAGCCTCTGGCCTCCCATCGCGTTTCCCTTGACTCTGAGTTTTTTTTTTTTTTTTTTTTTTTTTTCCAGGCAGCACCACCCTTCCTCTGGGGCTGATGGTGCCTGTGGATTGCAGCAAGAGCACCTGTGTGGGCAGCTCCTCCGCCTGCTGAAGGAGGCTGCTTGGCCCACTTGGTGAGCACAGAGGCAGGAGGGCTGGGGAAAGTACCTGGGTGGAGGAAAGGAGGGAAGGAAGAAAGAATAATACAAGTGCAGTGCTGGTTCTCCAGCATCCTGGAGGGACTGAGGGTTTGGGACACAGACTAGAGCTATTCCTGTACGTTTCTCTCTAGGATTAGGTGTGGCAAATCCTAATTTTTTTATAGCATTATGTGTTGCTTCCTGTTTTGGAAGAGAAGGGAGTCACTTATTTCAGTGCTAACAAAGCAAATTAGAAAATAAGGCACATATGGGGTCAATTTAAAGGGCTGTGTGAGGAGGAGCCTGGCCTTCCCAGCTGTTACCAGCACAGCCGCATGCAGCCAAACCCTGTGACGTGATGTTAACATCACCACCCTGTCTGTGCGGGACAAAACAGGCTGCGCTGGGACTGGGTGGCACAAGCAGCTGCTTCTAACTGGTGGCTTTGTCCCCCACTGGTGTGTGCCCTGGGAGCAAGGGGGAAGGCAGCATCACCTTTCCCGGACTGGAAGCAGTCGTGACCAGCAGCTCCATCCAGGCCTGCCTGTGTGGGTTTGGCTGCTTGTCCCCAGATGTCCAGCTCTGGCTGGCAGCTCTGGTCTGCTCCAGCAGTGTAAGAACTGGAAGAAAATGGGAGGAAAACATCTAGTGTACAGACACAAGGAAAAGACCAGATGCGATGGGGCTTCTCTTCACGCACATGCATCTCTTGCTGGGAAAACAAGCTGGGGGAGACAGAGCCTGTCAGGGTGGAGAGCGGGGGGAAGAGGAGACCCCCAGCTCCTTAGGAGGTAGGCTGGGCACACAGGCCTAGAGAGAGAGCAGAGTCAAAACCAGAGCAGAGGGGAGAGCCATGTGCTCTGGTTAGCTGCTGTGCCTGGCTGAGCCATTGCACATCCGAGGGAGATAAGGATGGAGAAGGATGCAGAGTCCAGTTGTATAGTGCATCACGGGGTAAGGGGTGACTGCAGGCATGAACATTACTCCCCTCTACTCCTACAGCACATCCCAAGTCCCAGAGCTGGCCGGCTTGACAGTTGTGCAGGAACCCTCTGTGTGGCATCCAGAGCTGCCTGTGTGGCATCAGCTGGCAGCAGCATGTGCTCATGGGTTTGTCTCCAGTGCATTAGAAAAGGGCTGCAGGGAGAGGGGATGGCCGAGTGTGCTGGGAGAATGTCTGCTGCTTCAATACTGCTTCAGTGTGCCTAGGCCCACAACAGAGGGGCCTTTGGTCCTGCTCTTCCTTAGTAGTCATTCAATAAATAACTCTAATGTCCGTAGCTAAGCCTTTACACAGCCTCAGCTTGCGTTTCTGCTCTTGCAGTAGCGTGGTGGCAAGGCAAGTCTGTATAAAACAGTCTTTCAAGGAAGATTTTTTAAGTGCTGGTGCAAAAGGGCTGGTCTTGCAGTCTCCTCTCTCCTCCCTGCCTCTAGCCTGGGTGGCAACACGTCCTTCTGCCTTGCTGCCTTAAGATGGTGTCTTGAGGTCTCTAAGGTTGGGCTGAGGGTATCTGGCTGCAGATGCTCTCAGTTGCCTTTGGTTTGGTGGCCAGGAAGATGGCACATCTTTGAGCTGTGGGTAACTCTGCACTCAGCTTGCTTTGCCTCTCCAACATGAGCTGGGTTCAGATGGAGTCTAGACAGTAAAGCTCTGCCATCTCTGCAGCAAGGCAAGCGAGGCACACCTGTACTCACGTCCCAAGCAGCCGGCCGCATTTGTGCAGGGACAGTGCGCAGGCAGCTCGGTCTTTGCCTGCCCGTGGTCCTGTGCACCCTCACCTGTGCCATGGTGCGTGCGCTTGCACATGAGCACAGCGGTAGAGCCTTGCACCCAGTTCGCTGCGTGCCAGCCCAGTGCGTGTGCGTCACGCTCGTGGCGGGAGGTACGTACGGTCCAGTGGCAGATCACCCTTGTGTGCTCTGCAGGGTGTGTGGCCGCCTGCATGCCTGCCCTCTGCAGGGGTCTCTGCCCTTGGGCTTGCTGTCATGGGCAGGGAGAAGGGGCTTGCATAAACCTGTGCCCGACTGCCTTGCTCTCTGCCAGCCCTTCAATGCGCTGGCTAGCCGCCAGGCTCAGCCTCTTTTGAAAGTCACCATAAAGTGGCAACAGCTTTGGCATCTCCTTGCCCCTTGTAGTGCCCAGCTAAGTACTGGTGGCATCTCAGAGGGGAGGGCCTGAACGCCTTCCTGTCCGCTAGATGGGCAAGGAGGGTCTCTTGTCCAGCAAGAGCAGCTTGGGCTGAGCTGAGATCCACAGGTCCTCTTCATCCTTCTTCTTCTTCTTCTTCTTGTTCCTCTCGGTGTGCAGCTGCCCGTTGCTGCTGGGGCTACCTTTCTTCCTGCTTTCTCTTCTCTGGCTGCAGAAGCAGCAATGGCAGCAGATGAAGATGAATGCAATGAGGACGACAAAAGGCAGACCCAACAGCACAGCCAAGCAGACAGTGTTGAAGACACCTTCCTCATGCTTGGTACGGATGAGCTCCAAGATGGAATTAAAGAAAGAGCTGATCTTCTGCTCCATGTTGGCTCATGGGCAGGCTGCCTGTACTGCTCCCTCTACCTGAAGGGCCTGTGGGATACGTTCAGCTTCTGTAGCAGTTAGTGGGCTTCACCAGTGTCCTTGATGGTGCCTGCAGTGACAGGAAACCACACGGATCAGATGACTGCTCCCTTAGCAATCTTCTCCATGGACGTGCCAGCACAGCTAAAGCCTCAGCAGGGTGAGGTCTGCTGCCTCAGAGGGGTCTGGGTTGTTACAGGGGCTGGGCCATGCTGCTGGCCACCTCCCTTTGGGTGTCCCCATCTGAGGAACACAGCCTGCCAACTTCCCCTTGGGGTTCATTCTCGATGAGATGGGCATGGGTGAAAAGGGCTTTGGGCATCCCTATTTGAGCACAAATCCTGCCCC